TTCTTCTCTCAGTACACTAACGATCAAACTGAATAATTAGGTCTTCATATCACCCTGGGACTGGATGCAGTCTGGGCTCACACACTGTACTGTAGTGCAGACACTGCCTCACACTGCGCTATATCTCCCATCTGCACTGTTTGTTTTAAAGTCACTGTTTTTGTCATTGTTTTCTCTGTGATTTCACTGTCGGGCTCGTCTGGTTTCAAACATAAAGTAAGGTTCTTTATTGCCATTGTACAAAACATAAAATGAAATTCATGTGCCCTCAAGAACTGGACTCATATATTAAGATAAATAAGAAATAGATATATAAAATAGATAAATAAAAGCTCGTACATCACACTCTACACACCAAGACATGGCAGCTTTTTTACCATACACTCATTGCCAATGTATTCCGTAAAAAAAAAAAAACACTTGCGAGTCCAGGTGCCGGAGGGAGGGAGCAGTGGGCGGCCACCTGAAATTCTGACTAATTGGCAGCATTCCCACCACTGCTTTGACTTTAACCCCTGAATCAACCTGACAAAGAAAGCAGGTTTTTAAAGAACACACGAGTGTCTCCTGATCTGCCATGCTCATGGTTAACGCTTGGCAACTCGAAGTATTGTTGTCAACAACTGAAGTTGACTGGTGAAAGTTTATTTACCAAACTGCTGAGCTCTGGGAGTGAGGTTGGCTCATAAACATCAGACAGGTTGGCCACAGGTTAGATATTGGTGCCGCCACTCCTCAACCGTTTTAGAATCAGTTTTAATTTTAGTGTTGTCTGCCGGTGATAGCAGCACATACGATACAAATGGGCCCTCGTCATTTTTGATTCAGTGCCAGAACTACATCAGTTTAATTCTGTAAGATAACTGCAGCGTGTGGCCCCATCAACACGGTTCTTGTCCATTTATCCATTACCGATCTTTGTGGTGTGTTACCAGCCTGTCCGCATACAGGCGAAGATTTCAAACCATTTCAAATTGCATTAATCTATAGGTTCGTAAAAGAATTCTCCAAAGACATGTACAGTGCCACTCATATGCTACTAGCTTAACACATCCTGAGAACAGAAAAGGCTCAGAGATTGTCGGTGGCTGTGGCAGTGTGCATCCGATTTGCACTTTGCAGCAACAAGCTCACAAAAAGTCATATGGAGTCGATACATAGAGTCAGACGTGAGGAGAACAGGGTGTAGGCTCTGTGCCTCCTCCCTCTCTGTGCTCTAACTGATTTCTCTGGGTGTTATCGGCATCAAACCAAAAGGACAATACCGCCACAACATCAGGATAACATCAACATATCCACAATAACTCCCTCCCTCCTCAATTTCCTATTAAACCAGCCCCATGTGAGTCCTGCTCACCAGTTGTCGTCCCCTTTCCCACTGTTCACACTTTGCCTCCACCCCCGCGAGTCACACTCCTCTCTCTAACCAGCAGCCTGTGGGCTGTTAATTACCCTGACACACATTGACAGCATGACCTCGATTTGTTGCTTTGTGAAGCTACATGAGTAACGCTGCAGTCACCTGTGTTCGGTGTGGAGGCATTGTGTGTTTCTCTTACAGTCCAAACCTCATCTTTAAAAGACCGACCAACCTTTCTGGCTTGCTACTTTCTTGACTGACTGACTGATAATTGCTTGCATAGTCTTGGTGTGAATAGATTTTCTAAACTTTATACTTGTTCACCAGAAAAACAAAATTCTGACATTCCTCTTCTGTCTGTGGATCTGTCAGCTCTGAGGATCTTTAAAAACACAAACGTATAGTTCATTCTCAGAATTTTGCTAAACTAAATGAGGAGCCTGCTAGGTTTAGGCACACACACACAGCCTGCTTCAGTTTAGCTAAAACAACTTGGTGAGGTGACGGTCATGGTTTGGCTTAAAATATGCACTTCATATATCCTATAACACATCCGAGCACCAACTACACAGAGAACTCTGTGTGTTACCAGTGGGCGACTTGTGTTGGTGTATGAAGAAAGCTGTCCTGTGTGGCCTGTCAGAAATAGTAAGAACAGAGTGATAAAGCGGTTGAAAAAACGCCACTACCAGGTCTAAAGTACTGGACTGATGCTCATCACTGCAGCGGCAGTGTTACAGTGTAGAGTCGCGTAAGCCTTTAACAGCCCCTGGGGGCCACTTGGCTTGTTAACAGCAGTCAGTAAATACAGTAGGAACAACCCCAGCTGGGCCTGGACACCAAATAGCAGCTGACCTTGTGCAATCACATGACCAACTTCTTACACAGTCATTCGAGAGTCTCCCTGGCTCCCCTAGTCCTCACAGAATTATAATACATATTGATGATATGCATCTTCTGACCTACTGGTAGGTGCAGTTTGCTCCTGCTGATGCATGGTTACAGCGTGATAACAATTATAATGGTCATGATTAACAATAATGGTCATTTTCCCAATAATTTGAACTGGCTGCATTGTCCCTGAGCAAATCGGTGCCATAGATTGTGTGTAAAAGATAGATGGCACATCAACACTTCCACTATGCAGAAGTGAGGCCAACATATTGTGACTCTGACAGCTGCCATCTTGGCACCAGGTTCTGTGTGAACGAGTTATGGTGGCTTCACTTCTAAGAGCTATCACGTCATCCACCTTTATATACAGTCGGTGGTTGGCACTGACGGTGCAAACCATCAGACTGTATTTCGTCATGGTACTGGGCTGGCAGAATTTGTGACGTGGGACTGAGTCTGAATAAACTACAGTGTGTGTGTGTGTGTGTGTGTGTGTGTGTGTGTGTGTGTGTTCATGGTGATGAAATGTAACAGCGTGGTCACTGATCAGTGATCTTATTGATCACTGCAGCTCAGTGGCACAGAGCAGTTAGACATATAGGCCTTTCATCTACCTGGAGTAGAAGTGAAAAGGATAAAACAGCACTTTCACATATACAGTTGTGTGTTTTTGCTGACTTTGTCATGACTTCAATGGCATTTTAACAGGTTTGTAGCTAGACTACAAATAGATCAATATATTCCTTTTGACTTTCCCAACAACTCTAAATGTTAAATGTAACCTCATTCTTCAAGTGAAGCTTTAGTGTTTCCAATAAAAGCTATAGGCAACAAGGAGGCTTTGAATGGCTGAAAGTCTAGGTTACAGTTTCAAGGTGACTCAGAAGATGAAGAAAGAAACACACTCGTGGTGGCAGATTATCCCAGCAACAGCATCTGGCCTCGTCTCTCTCCATCTTCTGAGCCCCGTCAGCACCAGTCCCCTTCTGTCCAGCCTGGCGGAAACATTTGTGAAACCCTCAACAAACACGCGCTTTAATGATTTAAAACAAAGATGAACCCCAGAATACTGAAAACAAGCTTTTAAAGTGCTTATTATTGGTTTGAGCTGAGCTAGCTGGGGTTGAGTTTGCTCGGTCATACTTGAAGAGCAAACGCTCGGTAATATTCTGGTCTCTCCACTAATGGTGACGCCATCATGATGGAGAGCTCGTGGTTTTTCTGGAGGTGGTGGTGCGGATGGCAGAAATGGTTCAGGACAGATAGTTTAGGGGACAGGAATCCATTTGTGAGCGCTCCCACAGTGGGATGAAGCCAAGCATACATCATAATTTATGTGACAAATGAGTTTCTATCACTGTTTATTAGTCTGTTTTCCAAGACATTCTCCCTCAAGCATCCACATAACACTGAGGAGACAAAAACAAACCCTGAGTCTCAGACACATGCCCTGACAGACCTCCAGCAAATACAGCTGTTTTTCTGCATGCGAGAAAGGGCACAGTCCAGACTTGAACCTGATCAGGTGACAGGGACCTAGTCAGGGTTGTTGTTGAGGAGGAAGTCCGGTCTCTCTTCAACCACAGCTTCACAATTAAAACCTCATCTCCTCTCATTTACATGGAAAACTGAGCTGCAGCATACATTTGATCATGTTAAAGTTACACATAGTGGCTTTTTAAATGGTGGATGTAAGTAGTTTTGTCGTAGTCTCAGAGTCCTGAAAGTTGGACTTTTAAACCAGGGAAGGGTTTGATTACTGTATATATGCACACATGACAAATAACTGCTTCCCTGCAAAAAACTGAGAATTTGTAAAAATCAAGCAGAGAACAATAAAACATACATATATTTAAAACCTACAATGTTTTAAAATGAATTTATGAATGAATATTTTATATGTATATATTTATATATAGAGAGAGAGAGTGGGGGCAGATGAATGAATGTAGTGTGGAAGATATTTAAACTAATATACAGTTTTACAGTTATTAGTTTTCTTCCAACTGATCTGGGGGTGGAGGGGTTAACTAGAAATATTCAGATAAGAAAGTGAAGCGAAAGTACTATTACAAGTAAAGGTTTAAATATTTGATAGATAAAATAGATCAAAGTGTAGAAGAGTCATCGGGATTTTGTAGTTTAG